TTTGAGTACAAATTTTCTTTAAAGTTATTGCTGTTGATTTTGCTGGATCAAATTCTCAGGTCCTTTTTTTAAAATGTACGCTGTTGTGTTTCAAAATGTTTTCTTTTTTTTATTTTTTTATTTTTTTTTTGACAGGCAGAGTGGACAGTGAGAGAGAGAGACAGAGAGAAAGGTCTTCCTTTGCCGTTGGTTCATCCTCCAATGGCCGCCGCGGCCAGCGCGCTGCAGCCGGCGCACCGCGCTGATCCGATGGCAGGAGCCAGGAGCCAGGTGCTTTTCCTGGTCTCCCATGGGGTGCAGGGCCCAAGCACTTGGGCCATCCTCCACTGCACTCCCTGGCCACAGCAGAGGGCTGGCCTGGAAGAGGGGCAACCAGGACAGAATCCGGCGCCCCGACCGGGACTAGAACCCGGTGTGCCGGTGCCGCAAGGCGGAGGATTAGCCTAGTGAGCTGCGGCGCCGGCCATCAAAATGTTTTCTTGAATTACAGTTTTTATTGTTTATTCCATTTGTTTGCTTTGATGCTCTTATTCAGGGACCTCTGTTAGCCTCATGTTGGCTATTCTTTGCTTGTCTTTAGTATTTTATCTTCAGTCCTTTTGATCTCTTTCTTCAGGTTTTATTTAATATTTTTCTGTTTCATTTGCTATGATTTTTAAAAATTTTTTTAATTTGTTTATTTTTTTATTTTTTGACAGGCAGAGTGGACAGTGAGAGAGAGAGAGACAGAGAGAAAGGTCTTCCTTTGCCGTTGGTTCACCCCTCAATGGCTGCCGCGGCCGGCGCACTGCGGCCGGTGCACTGTGCTGATCCGATGGCAGGAGCCAGGAGCCAGGTACTTCTCCTGGTCTCCCATGGGGTGCAGGGCCCAAGCACTTGGGCCATCCTCCACTGCACTCCCTGGCCACAGCAGAGAGCTGGCCTGGAAGAGGGGCAACTGGGACAGAATCTGGTGCCCCGACTGGGACTAGAACCCGGTGTGCCGGCGCCGCAAGGTGGAGGATTAGCCTAGTGAGCCGCGGGGCGGCCCCCTAAGGGCAACTTTTAATTTGAAATAATAGACATTACTAATTTATTTATTTATTTGAAAGTCTGAGTTACACAGAAAGAGGAGAGGCAGAGAGAGAGAGAGGTCTTCCATCCGATGGTTCACACCCCAGTTGGCCACAACAGACGGAGCTGCGCTGATCCGAACCCAGGAGCCAGGAGCCTCTTCTGGGTCTCCTATGTGGGTGCAGGGGCCCAAGGACTTGGGCCATCTTCTACTGCTTTCCCAGGCCATAGTAGAGACCTGGATTAGAAGTGGAACAGCTGGGTCTTGAACCGGTACCCATATGGTATGCCAGTGCTTCAGGCCAGGGTGTTAACCTGCTGTGCCACACTACCTGCCCCATTACTGTGTCTTTTTTAAGACTTTAACTGTTAACCTCATCCCTGAGTTTTTCTAGTTCTGATTCATGTTCTTTCATATCTTAAACCATTTTAAAAGTGTCTTTTGAGCCGGCGCCGTGGCTCAATAGGCTAATCCTCCACCTTGCGGCGCCGGCACACCGGGTTCTAGTCCCGGTTGGGGCGCCGGATTCTGTCCCGGTTGCCCCTCTTCCAGGCCAGCTCTCTGCTATGGCCAGGGAGTGCAGTGGAGGATGGCCCAGGTGCTTGGGCCCTGCACCCCATGGGAGACCAGGAAAAGCACCTGGCTCCTGGCTCCTGCCAGGATCAGCGCGGTGCGCCGGCTGCAGCGGCGGCCATTGGAGGGTGAACCAACGGCAAAAAAGGAAGACCTTTCTCTCTGTCTCTCTCTCTCACTGTCCACTCTGCCTGTCAAAAAAAAAAAAAAAAAGTGTCTTTTGGTTCATTATGAAACAGTGAGTTATAATTTTCCTCTGTTTCAGGGGCATACTTTCATTTCTAGGATTCTTTTATGTCCCACACTCTTTTTTTCCTGTATTAACTTTATGTGGGTTTTGACCCCATTACTTTTCTGGTTTTTTTTTTTTTTTGATGATTAGTTTGTATGAACTTTGTGAATGAGGCATGATTGAGTAAACCTTTTCTAACTTAATTTAATCCTGTGTTAAATTGTTTTTTTGTGTGTGAAAGACTCTGGGGACTTTTTTTTTTTTTTTTTTAAAGATTTATTTATTTATTTGAGAGGCAGAGTAACAGAGAGAGGGAGAGACAGAGAGAGAGACAGGTCTTCCACCTGCTGGTTCACTCTCCAAATGGCTGTAACTGCTAGAGCTGGGCTAATCCTAAGCCTGGAACCAGGAGCTTCTTCTGGTCTCTCACATGGGTGCAGGGACCCAAGCGCTTGGGCCATATTCTACTGCTTTCCCAGGCTACCAGCAGGGAGCTGGATTGGAAGTGGAGCTGCCTGGACTTGAGCTTGAGCCCATATAGGATGCTGGCACCTCAGGTGGAGGCTTTACCTGCTATGCCACAGTGCCGCCTCTGGGGACTTTTTTCTGAGATCTAATGCTGTTTCCTCCTCCATTTTGGTCTGGGCCATCTCCAATTTTGTCATTATTTTTCCTATTCTCAATTTTGATCTTGTTCCTAGCAGTTTCTTTAGTTTGGGCCTCTGTCCAGGAAGGGGGCCTTGACAGGGCAGCTTCTGTACCAGCCCATTAATGTTATTCACCTGTTTCAGTCCTGGAATGAGCAGGTCTCTCCCACATTCATCTGCTGCTCTCAAATTGGCTTGTATTAAATATTTGTTGACTCTTGGGGTTTCTGTCAGCCTTATTGTTTCTCTTTGCTTTTCTCTATAGACAGCTTGATTACTCCTGGGCAAGTTTTGTAACTATTTGGCCTCTTAATTGTTTTTTTAATTAATTAACTTATTTGAAAGGCAGAGTTGGGCGGGGGGGGGGGGGAGAGAGAGAGAATGAATCTTCCATCTGCTGGTTCACTCCCCATATGGCCACAATGGCCAGAGCTGAGCCGATCTGAAACCAGGAGCCAGGAGCTTCCTTTGGGTCTCCCATGTGGATGCAGGGGCCCAAGTACTTGGGTACTGCCTTCACAGGTCATTAGCAGGGAGCTGGATTGGAAGTGGAGCAGCCAGGACTTGAACCAGTGCCCATATGGGATGCCAGCGGTTTAACCCACTATGCTACAGTGCTGGCTTATAGAGGGAGAGGGGGGTTAAATACTGCTCTTGGTGTTGATTTCTGTATATAGGTGCTTTAGATAGGATTTTTGCAAAATTTCTCATTTAAATTAGTAGAGAATTAAATTACAGAAAAAGAGACTTGATAAAATACACATAAGAGCTGGTATGAAAACCTGTTTTCCAATTGTATGGATATCTTTGTGTTACTCAACTTTTTTTTCTTTTTTAACTTTTCATGAACATTTTCAAGCTTGTTCAAGGCCAGCATCCTATCTCCTTTGCCATGGTCTTTTGGTTTGTAGTAAGTAACAGATTGAAAATTAGCATGGGGTTTAGGGCCAGTGTTTTGGCACGGTGATAGCAGCATCCCATATGGGTGCTGGTCCTGGCTGCTCCAGTTCTGATCTAGCTCCCTGCTAATGGGCCTGGGATAGCAGCAGAGAATATCCTGAGTGTTTGAGCCTCTGCCACCCACATGGGAGACCCAGATGGAGTTCCAGGCTCCTGGCTTTGTGTTGGCCCAGCCCAGACATTGTGGCTATTTGGGGAGTGAATCAATAGATTCTACCTTTCAAATAAATAAATTAAACTCTCACTGATAAATCTAAAAATATTCCTGATTTTACTTTGTTTCATACTGAATGCTATGCCCTGGAGATAGCATACATATTCCTTTTTCAAATTTAAGAAGCATCTTTTAATTTTTTTTTTTAAGAGACAGAAACAGACGAACCCTCATGTGCTTGCTCACTTCCCACGTGCCTGTAATGGCTAGAGGTAGAGTTGGCTGAATCTAGGAGTCAGGAATTCAAACCAGTTCTCCCACGTGGGCTATAGGAACTCAGTTACTTGATCATCACTGCTGCCTCCAGGAAGGAAGCTAGAGTCAGGAGCTGGAACCTGATATTGAACTCAGGTGCTCCAACAAGTGTCTTAACTGTTATGCTAAGTGCCCACTCCTGGTGACTATCTTATGGTAATATTTTCATCTGAGAAATTAAAATAATCAAATTCTTCAGTCATTACCTTGTTCTTACAAGAAGCAACATCATTTTAATATTTTGTCCTTTTTATTTCTAATCCTTTCTAAAAAATTTGAGAGGGGAAAAATAAGAGAGGGTGCCAGCACAAGCAAGAGCAAGTACAAGTGCTCGCATCCACTGGTTCACTCCCCAAATGCCTGCAGTGGCTGGTGCTGGGCCAGGTGCAAACAGGAGCTTGGAACTCAATCCCAGTGTTCCTTGTGGGTGGCAGGGACTTCATTGTGTGAGCCATCACTGCTGCTTCTCAGGGTCTGTATTAGCAGGAAGCTGGAGTGAGGAGCTAGAGCCTGGAATTGAACCTGGGTACTGTGATGTGAGAATTGGTGTCCTAACTAATATCTTAACTGCTAGGTTAAATGACTGCTCCTCTAATGCTTTTTGAAAGAAAGCCTTATTATCATTTATTTATTTAATGATTTATTTATTTATTTGAACGGCAGAGTGACAGAGAAAGGGAAAAACAGATTTTCCAATCTCTGATTCACTCTCCAGATGGCTGCAATGGCCAGTGGTGGGCCAGGCCAAAACCAGGAGGTTGGAACTTCATTTGGATCTCCCATGTGGGTGGCTGGAGCCCAAGCACTTGGACCATTGTCTGCTGTCTTCCCAGGTGCATTAGTGGGAAGCTGAATCAGAAGCAGAGGTGCCTGGACTTGAATTGGCACTCCAATATAGGATGCTGGTGTCACAAGCAGTGGCTTAGCCCACTGCTCTGCAGTGCTGGCTCCTATAGCATTTTAGAACTATGTATTTGTTATAATTTTAAAAATACAAATAGGTCAATCACATTCTCTCAGAATTCAATCATATAATTGCTGTTGTATTTTTTACTCTCTTAACAGAGTTCTGTCCATCTAACCTGAGACTCACAGACATCTTGGACAATTTTGATCATCAATAAAGAAGTTTATAATTAAGTAACAGTGGGGTTTTTGAAAGAGCTAGAAGAATTATCATGAATTTAAACACTTCGAGTAATCCCACTGGTGATACCCAAAGGTAATCCTCTATTCTTTTCCTTTAGTTAAAAAATGTTTTTGTTTGCAAGGACCAGGGAGAATTAAGTGATTAGTGGGACTAATTTTTTTTTAAAGGTTTATTATTTATTTTAAAGGCAGAGTTATAGAGGCAGAGGCAAAGAGAGAGAAAAAGATCTTCTATCTGCTGGTTCACTCTCCAAGTGACCACCAAGGGCCGGAGCTGGGCCAGTCCAAAGCCAGGAGCCAGGACCTTCTTCCAGCTCTCACAGTGGGGCTAATTTTAAGAATATTCATGGGAGGCCAGCGCCACGGCTCAATAGGCTAATCCTCCGCCTGCGACGCCGACACTCCAGGTTCTAGTCCCAGTCGGGGCACCGGATTCTGTCCTGGTTGCTCCTCTTCCAGTCCAGCTCTCTGCTGTGGCCCGGGAGTGCAGTGGAGGATGGCCCAGGTCCTTGGGCCTTGTACCTGCATGGGAGACCAGGTGAAGCACCTGGCTCCTGGCTTTGGATCAGCGTGGTGTGCCAGCCACAGCGCGCCAGCTGCAGTGGACATTGGGGGATGAAAGGAAGACCTTTCTTTCTGTCTCTCTCTCTCTCTCTCTCACTGTCTACTCTGTCTGTCAAAAAAAAAAAAAAAAAAAAAAAGAATATTCATGGGAAGTAGAAATTTCATGGGACTGGAGGGGCAGGAATGATATCTCATAAGATGGCGCTGAATCTAGAAACTTCAGGAGATTCCTGCTGACCTTGTAGCCTGGACCACCTTGTAGCCTGTTCCTTTTTAACTTGGACCACAAAAGTTCATAGTCTGAAATTTCTCCTGTCACTAGAGTCTTGCTTATTCTTTTGTACTGTTCTGGATTTTTTCCTTGTATTTCTGCTTATTCATATTTGTGTTTGTTCACTTTGTTTCTGCATACTTCTGTGGCTCTACTTTACCCCTTCTTTCTTCATTGCCATGGCTCTAATTCCTAGCTTCTGTTGTGAGCTGTTCCTTTACTGGTGTCTCAGTTTACTTTTCAAGAGGAAGCATCTAATTGCTGTTGCTCATCTCATCTTTTTTTGTACCATTGGTTTCTGCCTTTGGGTGAAGTGCCTACCTTAGTTCATTCTTCTCTGTAGTTGGAGTCCATAATGTGAAATTGGACCAGATAGGAGGAGAGTGCATTGTTTCCTAAGTGTGGTTTACAAAGAAATAAGTATAGAAATTGAAAGTAAATGTTTAGAAGTTTATATGATAATATAATAGTAATTTTCTGTCTGCTGAATCTAGAAATTAGACATTTATGGTTGTGTTCTATGTATTGTTTAAAAAAAGATTTATTTATTTGAAAAAGAGAGAGATCTTCAATCTGTTGGTTCACTCCCCAAGTGACTGCAATGGCTGGGTCTGAGCCAGACTGAAGCCAGGAACCAGGAGCTTCTTTCAGGTCTCCCACATAGGTGCTGTGCCCCAAGCACTTGGGTCATTTTCCAGTGCTTTCCCAAGACTTAAGCAGAGAGCTGGATTGGAAGTGGAGCAGCTGAGACTCGAACTGGTACTGATATGGAGTGGAGTGGAGGCTTAACTTTATATGCCTCAATGCCAGCCCCTGTAATCTGTTTTAAAAATAATCCATTTAAAAAATGTTTTAAAGAAGCATCACTGGGGCCGGCGCTGTGGTGTAGTAGGCTAAGCCTCTACCTGAGGTAGCAGCATCCCATATGGACACCCGTTCGTATCCTGGCTGCTCTTCTGATCCAACTCTCTGCTTATGGCCTGGGAAAGCAGTGGAAGATGGCCCAGGTGCTTGGGCTGCTGCACCTGCATGGGAGATCTGGAAGAAGCTCCTAGCTCCTGGCTTCGGAATGGCTCAACTCTGACTGTTCTGGCTATTTTGGGAGTGAACCAGCAGATGGAAGACCTTTCTCTTTGTCTCCCCCCTCTCTGTAACTCTGCATATCAAATAAATAAAATCTGTTTTTACTTTTTTTTTTTTTTTAAAGAGCATCGTTGGGGTGGGGTGGACAAAGCCTTTCCTCACATTTAGTTTGAGAAGGATTGATTTATACTGCCTTTTCAGCAAGGATGTGTGGGTGTGTCAAGTACCATGACTAACATGTACTTTTGAGTGGGATTTGCTATACAAATGGTACCTACGCTTCTTTTGGAAGATATTTTTAAATCCTTTCTGGAGAAAGGTAGGGTATAAGTAAATTATAAACTTTTTTCTTTGCTTAGTTTTTTCAAATGTTGGAAGGGGCAAGATGAAGCATCATCAATTTGTTTTCTGCCATCACCTTAAAAACTAATGAATAAAGGATTTTCAGATTTCCTTCTTGTTCCAATATTCTATTTGTACACATTCATACATACATAAAAATAAATGTATATATGTATAGGCACATTAAAAAATTTTGAAAATATGAGGGGTGAGTGTGTGGCCTACTGGTTAAGCTGCCAGTTGGGTGTGTCTGGGTTTGAGTCCTGGCCTGCTGTCAATTCCACTCATGTGGGAGACCCAGGATTGAGTTCTGGGCTCCTGGCTTCTGCAGGCATTTGGGAAGTGAACTAGGATCTGAGTGTTGTCCGGCTGTCTTTTTCTGTGTCTGTGCCTCTCGAATAAATAAATGATTAATTAAAAATGCAAAAGAGCAAAACAATAAAACTACTTTTTTATTCTACTACTTTTTTTCCTACCACTTAGAGTTATCTATTGACAACATTTCTGTAAATGTTTGTTGAGAATTTTAAAAATGAAGATATCAATATATCATATAGGTATATATTTAAAATTAAAATAATATTTAACAGTATTTACTATTCTGATTTTTCAATTTGTAGGAAATATCAATATTCATCATAAGTTTTAATGGCTCAGTTGCTCTTCATAATTTTAGAAACTGGATAACTCTGTCTAAATTCTGTTTACCACTAGTCTACTCTCTGTTTCTACATATTTGCCTTTTTTGAACAACTCATATAATATAAATGAAATCATGCAATATTTAGTTTTTGTGTCTGACTTCTTTCACTGTGCATGTTCTTGAGGTTTATCATGTCGCAGTGTATATCATACATTGTTTTTTTATTGATGAATAGTATTCCATTGTATGTTATACCATATTTTGTTTTCCCATTCATCAGTTGGTGTCTACTTGTCCAGTTGTTGCCACTTTTTGGCTACTATTAATAATGCTGTTCTGAATATATGCATGTAAGTCTTTGTGTTGATATGTATATTTATGTTTCAGGTAGGTTCTTGCTGCATCATGTGGTAAACTTTTTTTTTAAGATAGATTTATTTATTTATTTTATTTTTGACAGGCAGAATGGACAGTGAGAGAGAGAGAGAGACAGAGAGAAAGGTCTTTCTTTGCTGTTGGTTCACCCTCCAATGGCCGCTGTGGCCGGCGCACTGCACTGATCCAAAGCCAGGAGCCAGGTGCTTCTCCTGGTCTCCCATGGGGTGCAGGGCTCAAGCACTTGGGCCATCCTCCACTGCACTCCCGGGCCACAGCAGAGAGCTGGCCTGGAAGAGGGGCAACCGGGACAGAATCCGGCGCCCCGACCGGGACTAGAACCTGGTGTGCTGGCGCCGCAAGGCGGAGGATTAGCCTATTGAGCTGCGGCGCCGGCCAAGATTTATTTTATTTATTAGAAGAAGTTGCAGAGAGAGGTAAGACACAGAGAGAGACAGAGAGGTCTTCCATCCACTGTTTCACTAAGTGGCTGCAACAGCTGGAGCTGAGCTGATTCAAAGCCAGGAGCCAGGAGCTTCTTCCTGGTCTCCCATGTGAGTGCAAGGGCCCAGGGACTTGGGCCATCCTCCACTGCTTTCCCAGGCACATTAGCAGGGAGCTGGATCAGAAGCGGAGCAGCCAGGATTCAACTGGTGCCCCTGTGGGATGCCAGTGCTGTAGGTCTGGGCTTTAACTCACTGTACCATAGCGCCAGCCCTTGTAAACTTATGTTAAAGGTTTTCAGAATCTGCCAAATTGTGTTTCAAAGGACTGGACCATTTTACATTCTCACCAGCAATATATGACTGTTTTATTTCTATTTCTTGGTTAGCATTTTTTAAAAAGATTTTATTTATTTATTTGACAGAGAGTTGCAGACAGAGAGAGAGGGAGACAGAGAAAAAGGTCTTCTATCTGCTGGTTCATGTCCTAGATGAGAGTGGGCCATCTTTTACTGCTCTTCCAGGCCATAACAGAGAGCTGGACTGGAAGAGGAGCTGGCACCCATATAGGATACTGGCACTGCAGGCAGAGGCCTAGCCCACTGCGCCACAGTGCCAGCCCCACATTTGTTATTATATCTGACTTTTGATTTTAGCTATTGTAGGGACTATGAAGTGGTATGTTTGTGTGTGTGTGTGTGTGTGTTTGACAGGCAGAGTTAGAGAGAGAGACAGAGAGAAAGGTCTTCCTTTTCTGTGGGTTCACCCCCCGTAAGTGGCCGCTATGGTTGGCGTGTTGCAGCCTGCGCGCTGAGCCCATCTGAAGCCAGGAGCCAGGTGCTTCCTCCTGGTCTCCCATGCAGGTGCAGGGCCCAAGGACCTGGGCCATTCTCCACTGCACTCCTGGGCCACAGCAGAGAGCTGGACTGGAAGAGGAGCAACCGGGACAGAATCCAGCACCCCATCCAGGACTAGAACCCGGGGTGCCGGTGCCGCAGGCGGAGGATTAGCCTAGTGAGCTGTGGCGCTGGCCATGCTTTTGTGGTTTTAATTTGAATTTTCTTAATGATTAATCAAGAAAAGCACCCTTGCATATGCCTCTTTGCCATTCATATATCTTCTTCGATGAAACTTCTATTCAAGTTTTTTGTTTGTTTAAAAATTTTATTTATTTGAAAGGCAGAGCAACAGAAAAGGGGGTGGGGAGAGAGAGAGAGCAAGAGCGAGAGAGAGAGCGAGCTCTTCTATTACCTGTTTCACTCCCCAGCTGACTGCATCAACCAAGAGTCAAGAACTCCATCAGCGTCTCTCTTGTGGGTGGCAGGGACTCAAGCATTTGGGCCATCATCTGA